ACTATCACAACAAGCAACACGTGTCAATAACTTGAAAATAAAAATCATCAAAAGAAGCATAAATAAATTTTCGACCCAAAAACTAAAAGACTCACTAGCGGTAGTAAATTGGTCAAAAATATATCATGAATGTAATCTCGGAAACACAAATTCCGCTTACAATAAGTTTATAAATATTTTCCTAAAACTCTACAATAAACATTTTCCAATCTCTGAAAAATTTAGCAAATACTTTGCAAGTATAGGTTCCAAACTCGCCTCTAAAATTCAACCTACAAACAATTCATTTGAGAATTACATTGAGGATGTAATTGCTCTCGTTGCTCCCTAGTTTTTAAAGAACTAGAATACGAAGATCTTGAAACAGCAATTAAAACATTAAAAATTAACAAAGGTCCAGGTATCGACAATATCCCAGCCACTATAATTTCGAATGTCTTCCCAGAAATAAGTAAACTCATTTTTCAAATATTTAACTCTTCAATAATTACAGGAGTTGTACCCGACTATTTAAAAATAGCTAAAGTTATTTCTATCTATAAATCCGGAGATACATCCTCCTTAAATAGTTACAGATCAATATCAATCCTTCCCGTATTTTCAAAACTGCTCGAACGAATAATCTACAATCGTTTATATAAATACCTAACCATAAACAAAATCCTGAATGAAAACCAATATGGTTTTCAAACTCAGCACTTGACAGAGCATGCTATCGTAGACCTCGTCAATAGGATTAGTGAATCAATCTATGAAAAGAAGTTTGTACTAGGAGTCTTTGTAAACTTGTCAAAAGCGTTCGACACAATAGATCATAAAATCCTACTAAAAAAGTTGGAAAAATACGGATTAAAAAACCATACACTGCAGTGGTTTAAAAGTTACCTGTATAACAGACAACAGTGTGTTATTACAGATGATAATTACCACAGTAAATTATTAAAATTAACTTGCGGTGTTCCTCAAGGTTCGATTCTTGCTCCTCTTTTGTTCCTAATCTATATAAACGACCTTCCAAAAGTTTCTAGCAAACTTGAATTTATAATGTTTGCAGACGATACAAATGTATTTTACTCTTCGACAAACATCAAGGATCTGTACGATAATGTAAACATAGAACTCCAAAAATTAAATATATGGTTTAAAACAAATAAGTTACCCCTGAACATAGAAAAAACAAAAAACACTTTATTTCATTCAAACCAACAACGAAACACACTACCGAATACTCTACCCTCTCTAAAAATAGAAAATATAGTAATTGAGAGAACTCACGAAACTAAATTTTTAGGAGTTATAATTGATGAAAATTTATCTTGGAAAGCTCACATAAATGCTTTAAACACTAAAATATCAAAAAACATAGGTCTTCTTTATAAAGCAAAACCTATGCTGTCGCAAAGTAATTTAAAACTTATATATTTTTCTTTTATACATAGCTACCTCATATATGCGGGTTTTCCTATTGAAAAATTCAATTCTGCATGAGATGTCTAAATCTTTGAAAATGTTAGAACTTGGTTCTTGATATAGCAATACTATACTAATAGTATATCAAGCATATATATATACATAGTATAACATATATTCAGTTTTAAACCGTTTCTTCCTTTATCTGTAAAAATTTCATCACCTGTATTAACCCTACCACAATTTTCAAGTAATTGATAACAAAAATAAAAATTAGCTAGAACGTGTCAATTAGTCGTTGTAAAAAGACTTCTTTTATAGTTGAAGAAACACTTTTTTAAAATGTAATCAAATTTTAGGAAGTTTTAGCGCTTGCGTGATTTAACTGATTTTTTTTTAATTTAATAAAGCATTCTGGATATTTTTTGGACGAAAAAATTATTGGACGCGAAAAAGACGTTCAAAAGACGTTTAGATTTTTAATGGGACGGGCGGACGCGATTTGAACGTCCTAAGGACGTCTTTTTTACGTCCTGTGCCCACTGGGGTAGTCCTGTGTTCTGCGAGAAGTCTCCAAGGTTGCCGAAAAAAAGGCGCCTTTCTCTTGGCACATTAGAAGCGTAAATATTCAGCACCTGCATCTCGTGTTCATCAATTTTTATCATGACGTTTAATATTTTCCCATTTTTATCCCTTTTTAGTTCATTTAAGGAAACGTTGAACTTAGAGAGTACCGCCACCCCACAACAGCTATGACTCGGACCGGAGTTCCAAATAGACTCGCCAGTCCATTCGTCATTCCACTGTTTAACAGTGGAAGCTACGGATTTTGTTTCCTAAAGGAGGATAAGATCGATGGTAGACTTTTTGAGAAACCCAAAAAAATTGTCACGTTTATCTTGGTTGTTTAGACCGTTTAAGGTTGCACGTTAAAATATTAATAGCCATGATGGAGAGGATCAGATTTCTTAAATTGAAAACTCTTGTACCTTAAACATAAAAATAAAAATTCTACAACCTGACATAAAAAACAACAACATATAAACCTTAATCTTATAGCACGAGTTTTCGTTAGGAAAGATATAATACTAACAGATGAACGCAATGTACGAACATTTTACACAAAAGTGCGAGCTACAACAAAACGGATTACCACAGCTTACGCGTTTTATTAAAAATAGAAACGTGCATTTTAAAATAGAGCGTAAAAGAATCAAAAATATATACAGATTTGAGAACATAAAGAAAAAAGAAGTTTAAAAAGTAGGAAAGAATTCAAAACGAAAGGAAAATTAATAAAAAAGAAAATTATTACAATTTTTTCTGCGCACAACTTAAGGTATCATAGCCGTCAAAATTAAAATTTAAATCTTGCTCGTCGACGATTAAGACATCTGTATCGAAATAATACAACACTGTTGTTATAATACAACTTAATAAAATAAAAAAACTAAATGAAAAAAGTAAAGACAACATTATAATTAAATCATTAATTTTGGAATTATTATAAACTATGTAAATTAAATAGCGGAACTGAAATCACTGAGACACTTAAACTTAATTAATTTATCTATGTTTGGAAATTAGTTCATCAATGTTTGGATTAATTTCACTGATACAAAGACGAATAAAATTTTCCAAGTTTTCTTTAGTCAGCCTTGTGCATTATTTTGATTTATTAACTTTTACCATTAAAAAGAACTGTTCGCATTTATAAATACTGACTAAGGTGCAAGCAATTCTACTTGCAAATTTTTTTAAGCTGCGGAAAATGGTCTTCCTTGAGGTATTTTTTGTAGAAATGTCACAACCAAATTTAGATATTATAGTGAATTTCAATAAAATTGCAAATGGAGTTGATTGAATCTCAATCAACTTCATTTGCATATTGTATGTTACTTTTTATTAGAGTAGCAAATAAATTGAATTAGTAATCCATACTTTTAAAATCGCTGAATCTGAACAAAAATTGCTCCGAGTAACATGAGTTCTTCTTTATTTTAGAGTTTTAAATTATTTGTTTTTTAATTTCTTTCTCAGAGCTTTAAAACTAGTTTTAAAATATCCATAAGAAAAAAGGCTACCGTATTATAGACATTCCCATTTAAGTTAAACCATAAATTGAACCACATTAAAGTTCAGGTTGTAGTAAAGATATCATTTTCCATAAGTTTACTTTTCTTTGTGCTTTATCTATCAATAGCAACTTTTTAAATTACCGCAGAAATGCAAGATATACCTGAGCTTTTTATTTTTGTAATCTTTTTTAAATAGTTTAAAGAGTATTATACTTTTATTCGTAACTATAGTTAAAATAATTTGATGTAGCAGTCATCAGATATGTTTTCATTAGTTATGGTGTTACCTCTAATTATGAATGTTATTGTTGAAATGTGTTTTTAAAAAAGTTCTTAAAAATTTCTAAAACTCATCATTGAATGCTTATTTATTTTACGTTTATACAAACCATTTTTATTGTGTACATGTTTTTAATATGGTTTTTGTAAATAAAGTACCTATTTTTTAATTTTTCTCATTTATATATTTCAATAAATAAGTTATATAGTATACGTATATAATACAGTTGAAAAACAAATTGTGGAAACTAGAGGATTGGGGATAGTGAGCACGTCCTTCCCTTCATTCGTTACCCTTAAAATAAAGCATTTACGCTCAATTTGTAAAATAAAGCCTTTACGCTCAATTTGTATAGAAGGTATATTATATGCATTTTGAGAACTCTTACTCTATTTTGCTTTCTGTTAAGATTGTTTAAGGTTTCGACGTCGCGCAGTTACCGAGAAATAAACGCATTACAGACATGATTATATACTTTGTAAAACGTGGAGTCTAACGTGCATGATAAAATATGCCTAATAATTTTAAATAAGCGTTTACTAATTTGTTAATTGAAAAAGACTTATTAAGTGCAACTTCTGAAAAAATTCAGGCATTGAACGTTGGTCTAGAAATAAAAGATACATTCAGGGGCAAATCTACAGGAGAACGTAGGGGTGCCCCTGAATGCGTTTGCCATAAACCTTTGTGGCTAAAGGTAATATAAAATTAATATTTTCAAAGTGCATATTTCAAAAAGATAAAAGAGAAAAAATATAAGATAGCAAGCAGTTTTAAAAAAAGGCACGTTTCTGATTAAAAAAGTTAGGGTATTGGGTTTCCTCATAAGGATATTGGGTTTCCGAAGTTCTTTAGTTTAATACCAATATAGCGCATGATTATTTAAGAATCAAGGACTAGCCTCGTTTCTTTATGTACCCATCGTAGCACAACATTCTTAATCAACGCTATACAGTTTTAGTGTACATACAAGGATCTGCAATGAACTAGTTAAAAACATCACCTTAAAATTTCAAAAGGTTTCTACAACTTTAGAATTTTAAACTTAAAAATAAATTAAGTTATAAACCTGCACATTTTTATTCAAAAATTTAAAAAAATACAATTTTTGTTTGCATGGATGTGTGTATATATATATATATATATATATATATATATATATATATATATATATATATATATATATATATATATATATATATATATATATATATATATATATATATATATACATCCGAGACATTGTTTCAAATGAAGTTTTATTAGGCACGATTCGTTCTAGTTGACCACGTTGGATAATTGTCACCATCATAGATAACCAAGTTTCCATCTGTTTGCATTACCAGACGATGAGGTTTTGAACCTCTCTCATTAGTACCACTTGACCAAAATGCTCTGTTGTAAACATCGTAAACAACCAAATTTCCATCATTTTGCATTACAACTCTTCTTGGGGCAGTTCCTTTTTTAAAAGAACCACTTGTCCAAATTGCATTTGGTGGTACCCAATGTTGTGTAACATAAAGAACAAAGTTTCCATCTCCTTGCATAACTGCATAGTAACAATTACCTGATGAAAGGTACTGTCCAGGATTAAGAGTTTGTCCATCGTGCAATGTAGTTCCAATGTTATTTGCTGCATCAAACTGAAATTTGTATTATATTAAATTTAAAAATTTTAATTCATATATCGAATCAAATAAATTAGTATAACTCAAGTAATTTAGAAATGTTGACCACCATTATTTAAATTAAAGTAGTCGGAAGTTAATTCTATACAACACTTTATATCATAATGTTTACACCAATACCTGTACTGTTTGCCCTCTTTTTACTATTGTGCTGTTTTTATCTTTAAACATATGTAGACCTAAATGCAACATATTGACCTTGTACAATACGTAGAATGAATTAAAAAAAAAAATAAATAAAACACTCAACGATATTATAAGATGTGTTGTTAAAAAATATATAAATTAAGAATATAATATAAAGTAAGAATATAAATATACAATATAAATAAAATATAAATAAACAACTAACAAATACAACATTGCTACAAATAAAAATGAACAAGTGGGCATTATGATACTAAAACGATATACCTTGAGCATCTAAAATAGTTATTTTAAGTTATATGCGATTTAACGATTTTCAAGCAAAAACCTTTTTCAGAGTTTATAAAATTACAAAAAGGAAATTAAAAAGTTCCTTCGGAAACCAAGATAAGAATAATGTTACCATGAAATCTTTAAACATAAATAATGAAAAAATTTAAAAACGAAAAACATATCAAACTGTTCCTATATTTTCTTTAAAAAAATACTGTAACAACTCATACATAAATACCTGAACAGTGGGTAGCACATGGAATAGTCTCAACTAAAGGAACATTTTCACAATACTTAGTAGGTTTGCAAGTTCGTGTACGTGTGCTTACTGAACAATTGCTAAATGGAGTCCACTCACTAATAACGCGCTCTAGAATAAAAAATATCTAAAAAAGCTAATTTAAAAAAAATAAGAAACAAAATTGTATGAATATTTATGTAAAGAATAAAGTTTAAGAAGACGAAAGAAGCCCAGGAACCAACTAGGGTTATATTGTTGTAGCTTGAGTTATATGGTTGTAGCAAATTAGGCTACATGATTGTACATGCTTTTCTTACTAGAGATTTCAACTTGGTAAGAAAAAAATGTTTACCAATCTCTAACAAAACTATGTATATCTTATTTGTTTGTTGGATGAAACAGCTATTTGTATATTTTTTAAGTAACAAAGTGTAAGTATTTGCATGTTGTCTAATAGTTATATAGTGCTTTTAAAAAAATTGGCGCAGTAAAATTTTGTTGCCTAAAGCATATTTAAACTATTATAAAGTAAAAGCTAAAGGTAACATTAAACAGATTTTTTTTTTTTTTCTTTGCAAGGAAAATCTTTTTTTGAAGAAATCTTGCATCTTGGATAGCATACTAAAACATAAAATTGTGTAAAAACGTTGTCAAACATAATAACAAAAATAGTTATAAAACAAATGTAATATATAAAAAACTAAGCAACAAAAAAAAACCTCTATTCTAGTTTTTTAAATATCCCCTACGAGTTTTTATAAAGACAGCATATTTTCTTTGCATTGATTTTACAAGGTTGTAGCAGATTTTGTTATAATTTCTTCTCCAAATGGTAATTCTTGTTTTAGGCTATTTAAAAAGTAATTTTTGCTATAGGCTATTTTTGGGTCGTTTTTACACCTTGACTTATTTTTTGTCTACCGACCCCAATAAAATTCAATTGGATTCAAATCTGGTGATTGAGCTGGACAATAAATCTACTTTATTTTTTTTAACTCATGCTCTTAATGTAAGAGCTGTGTGGGCAGGCATAAAATCTTGTAGAAAGAAAATTTTGTATAAATTTCCACAATTCGTTGCGATCAATCCCCAGATTGATCGCAACAAATGGTGGAAATTTCTACAAGATTTTATGCCTGCCCACACAAACGTCGGTATACTTTTGTAATTGATTAATTAATCATAAAAGTATACCGACGTTTTTGCGAAATTTTCGCTTTTCTAACTACTTTTTTTAAAAAGTGCAATTACCTATAAAACTCTAACAATTTTTTTAAAACTTTATGCATTTTAGTTAATCAGAAACAGTTTATCTGTTTTAAAACGTCAAATTTCATACGTGAGCACCTTTTAATAAGAACTTATCATTAATAAAACTTAGACGTCAAAAACCATATTTTTGTTAAAAAGTGATATGTAGTTTGCAAGAATGAATACTGCAAAGTGAAAGTTTTCACTATTATTTTAAGTATTTAAATTTCTCATTTTTGTCAGAAATTTTGTATCACTTCATCTTTTTTATTACTTTGAATAAATATATACTGACTGACATAACTTTATTTTTACTAACAATGTTGTGCATTGTAGTCTGCATTCGTTTTTACATTAAAAGCAATTGATGCCTATAAATGTTGTTTTATATTTGTTAAAAGTTTGCATATATGTTTATACTATGCTCAAAAGTTAAAAAGTTTTTGATAAATACATGTATGTGGTGATATATGCTATATAGTTGTTTTATAAATGTGTTTTTATAATAGTATGAAATATATTTTATCTAATGTGTGCATGATTGTTAAATGAATTTTTTTTACATGTTATATAACAAAAAAAAATTTTTTTAGTGTTTTATAGTTAGTATATATGTTTATATAATGTTGTTTCCACGATTTCAAAATGGTCTGATTTGGCAAATGTGTAGAGCAAGATTTGCCAACCTTACCAGTCAAGCAGTGTTACTGCTTTAGGTTTAAGTATTGCCTAACCTTCAATAGAACTGTTCTGAAAATACATAATATTATCTTTGATACTATTTTGCGTAATGTTGTTACCTTTATCTTTATGTCGGGTAGGTAGTTTCATTACTAGATTTCACTGCTTTTATTTATTTACTATAAGTGATTCAAGACATCATTTCGCCATTAATACATTTTGTTTATCATGAAATAACAATATTTAACAACTACTACTCTGGTATAACAACAGCTTCCCAGTGGGCACCAGGCCTAAAAAAGACGTCTTTTGAACGTTCAAAAGACGTTTAAAACGTGTATGAGATGTTTAAAAACGTCTTTTTTACGTCCGTGCCCACTTGGTTATTTCTATCAGGTACATTGATTTTCAATTCACATATGATGTTTTTCTTTGTATTGACTTATTCGTTACACTTTTTAACTTCAGATTTATCATATGATGTATTTATGTGCTATAGAAGAACAAATCATTGTAAATTTTTATGAATTTTTTTAAAATATTTACTGATAACTAGTCGAGTCAACATTAAAGTTCAATGTTGCATAAACCATTTTTAAATAGTTTCTAGGCTTTATTAAAGACTTTTCTTATTCAAGTGGTTTTATAATCAAGGTCTGCAGGAAAATTTGAGCTGAAAACTTTTTCAGCTTTCAAGAAGAATTAATGTTGCTCCCTGTTTGTTTGTCGTTGAATTTAAAGAAATTCTGCTCGATGAGCAGAAAACTTAATTGCTAGAATTCAGTGTCAAGCTGTGTTGTTGTCTACTAATTTGATTTTACAATAGGCACTTTAGAATAAAGCAAAGTATGAATTCTACTATTTATAGTAACAATAAATAATAGTTTCAAATTTAAATGATTTTAAATTTTTTTATTTTTTTGTAATTTCAGACATAATTGTGTTCTTTTTTTTTTTAGTTGTCTTTGTCATCACTTGATTATTTTGCTTACTGTTGAAACATGGTTTTAATTTTGTAAATTTAATATGATGTTAAATTTACTATATTAATCATTAGTGAACAGTTAGAGAGAAGCTGGAACTTAATTAAGAAATGCTGGAAATTAACTTTTAGTTAAGGTAAAAATAATTTTGTTTATTGGTAGCATCATAAAACCAGTTGTTATTCATTGCATGACTTTTTTACTTTTTTTAACATGCTACTTTTGAAACACTTCCTCTCTCTCTCACATATAGATGAGACTTAAATAAGAATTAGTACAGGGAGAATTGATTAAACTCATGTAATTACTGAGCTCTTGCACATTTTTTAATACTACAATTAATAATGACCATTTAAAAGATATATTTACGAGTTGCTAGCTATTTAAAGATATAATTTATTAAATTGTCCCTTGGTTGTTCAAATATTGTGATAAATAAAACTTGTTTAGTTTCAAGTATTTTACTTTCGAGATCGTCCATATATTTTGTAACTGAAAATTAAACTTATAGAATAAAGACATATCTCATAAACCGTCTTTCTCTCATGGTCAACTATATTTCGCATGTTCAAGAACTAGAGCATTTAATAGTTTGATTTTCAAAACTAATCAACATTCTATTCAAGGTATGGTAGATAAAAGCGTTACACAAATAATGTTATATTTTCTGATGTTCTTAATTTATAGTCTTTTGATTTTCATTTCGAAAATTTACTGTTAAAGCTTGTGAGCGCATTTTGGATGTATAACTTTATTTATTATTATTATTATTTTTTTTTTTTTTTTTATAGTTTTTGATAAATATATCTATTTAATATTGTTATAAAACGTGTTATAAAAAGTCATATTTGTTTGTAGTTGTATATATCTTTATATTTTGGTGTTTCCATGTTTTCAAAGTGGTGTGACTTGGTATACGTTTGATACCCTTGCCAGCCAAGCGGTGTACTTATAGAAGAGGTGTGACTTGGAAGCATTTAGTGCCAGGCGGCGTTACTGCTTTAGAGCTAGGTTGTGTTGTCTAGCTTTTTTAATTGTTCTGGAAACACATAATAATGTCTGTTAATGTTTAGCGTAATATGTATGAGAGAGTTTGCAACCTTAATCTTTAAATCTAGGGTGCTTTAATGTCCTAAATTTGAGTAACTAATATTGAATATAAAAACAAATATACTTTATTAAAGATAAATATAGTTAACTCTAAATGGGTTTTTTAGTATTGCCTTTCATATTTTAATTTAGTTTATTACTTTCACTGGATTTTATTGTTATGTGTTAATGTTGTAATGTTATTGTTGTGATATTTTGTGTTGATAGACAGCTTGGCTTATCTTCCCGTTGGTGTCTATTTTTAAAAATGAGTCATAGGTAGTTTAATTATTGGAACTTACTGCTTTTATTTATTTAATAAAAGCCAAGACAACATTTTGCTAAAAATGCAATTTATTTCTTAGTTTAGTAAATATAATATCATAATTTTATTACTTTTTTATATAGATTTACGTTATGACGCATTTATAAGATTTATAAAAAAAATGTGATTTCTTTTTATTGTAAATTTTTGTTAAAAAAATACAAATATATGCTATTAATTCATTTTGTTTTACATTTTATCTATTTTATGCCTAATAATTTGTGTAATTGCATTATTACAGGCATGAATTATAACAATAGAATATTGTCTCCACTTTGCTTACAAATTGCAGACGCGCAACACAAGAGAAAAGTTATTTGTGGCGACAAACAAAAAAAGAATCTGAGATTTTCAAAATTGTATTGAATTAATTATTGATGTGTCCAGATCTGGTGGTTCTGAGACATTCAATGATGGAAATACTGCTCGTTGTTTTTTCCAATCTGAAAGTATTGTGGCTGAAATTTTAAAGGTAGATGTTCTACTGCTGGAAAAATGTGCATGTCATTTTGGCCACATTGTCATCAGCTTTGCAAATTAATGCAGAACTACTATGGTATTGCATGCCACAAAATTTGCACAAGATACTTTTACACAGACATGAGGTTGTGAGAAAAACTGTCTTGCCTATTGGAATGCTCTTTGAAGAGGTACAGGAAGCACGAATCAAGAACTTCAAACATTTCCTTGAAAACTACTCATGCAAACGCAGTCGTTCGAAAACAAACTACGATGTATTTTGCCAAATTTTGTGCTCATCAGAACCAATAATTAGCAGGATGAGGAGGTCAAATTCTCAAAATTCAAAATCACAACTCCCAGAAGGGTTTAGTGATTTGCCTCAGGCTCCGACTGTCAAATCATCCAAAATTTAATTTCTTATTTTATGCATGAATGCATGTTTTATAAATTATTGATATGTTTCAAATTGTCAATGTTTTATTGCAATATTTTTTTGATTTTAATATTATTAACCTAAATCTTTACCTAAAATTATTTATCTATTAGTTTTAGGTAAAGATTTACCTAATATACTATTTTAAATAACTATTAAATATTTAATACATATATTAGTTATTTAGAATAGGACGATTGAAAATCTGATAAAATTTTTTTCAAAAATCCATTTATCTTTGTGTAAACAAGGAAAGTATCTAGTTGTTATGCAGTATAAGTATTCTTAGCAACTAAATTTAAAAAGTTATGACTTTTGTATAAAGTATGACCTCGTATTTTTACTCATGTCAACTTAAGTGAATATAGCACTCGTAAAAAAACTATCAAAATACGTTGTTGCTATGTAAATAAAACTAGGTAACCATAGAAACCAAATAATAAATATCCCCCTCATAAAAAGAGAAAACCTCATACTTATGCATAAATTAATTATAATATAAACAACACACATAAACATCTTTAACTACCAAAAATAGGTTGCTGCTAAGCAAAGTTAGGTAATCATAGCAATCTAATGCGAAAATATGACTTTCATAAGAAGCGCAGACCTTTTGCAATCTCTAAACCAACACTTCCACCTCCACTTTGCAATCTCGGTACAACAAAGTGATTACTATACTTTTCCAGTTTAAACCTTTTAACAAGTACTTTGCTTTTTCTATTTTTAATTTCAAATTTGTTTTCATCACACTTCCATCATAAATATTACTTGCTTTCACTTCTCCAAAGACCATCCAGCTCTCTCTATACACCACCGTAATCTTGTGAGCCAACATGAGCATGTGTTTTCTAACAGCTGCATAGACACCAATTTTTTTCCTAATGTTTCTAACTGTATTTGTACGACAAAATACGTTTTTAACGGTTTTTCTTAAATGCGGTCTTTAGTTCACAATGACTTAATCTCGGCACTTACTTGACGAAATATAAAAATATTTTTGCGTTCAGTAGTTAATTTTACTTTTTCTGATCCTGCATGTCGTTGAATACCATCTGTTGCTTTAAATGTCTTTCTGACGCAAATCTCTGAAACTTAACCTCTGATTTGCTAATATATTGCTTTGCTTACTGCTTTTTGATTCACTTCTATGTATATTTACCTTTTGATCTTATCAAAATATTTAAAAACACTTTAAATTTGACTAAATTCGTCATCATAAGTAATTTTATCTAACCTTTTATAGGAAATTGTCAAACTAACATATATATTAATAAAATAATTATGAATAACAGTTGGTTTGACAAAAAGTAAAACGGAAACCTTTGTGCACCAATTTATTATACAATCTTTTCTTCTATGTTTTCTGCTATGTTTTCTGTATTACTTTAAAAAAAGTAACTAAATATGAGCTTGTTAATGACATGTTAAAAATAACTTTTCTGTCGTTGAAAAAAAAATTTGGTATTTCGGAAATATGGAAAAGTTTTTACGATGTTTTAAAAAAAAAACTCAATTTTTTACTGCCTTTTTTGAAAGCACTGTATATTGAATTTCAAGTAACAGGTTTATAAGTGTTAGAAAATTTAAAAGTTAAATATTTAGGGTTACCAGATGTATCTAACACACTATCTGATACCAATATTTATTTATAATCAACGCTTCCTTTCTTATCTTTTAGAATCACGCTTCACATTCTCTTAATAAACGTCTTCTCCGTTGTTTTGATTGCTGTGACATTTTCACACATGGCCATAATAACTATTACTACCCATTACCTACCCATTACTTCTTCAACATCTAATTACCTCAAAACCCTTCTCTATTTGCATGTGATATCTATAAATATTATTTTCTCTTTAATTCTTTTTCCCTGAATCTTTCTTGAACTTAACTATCATAAATATTGCATCATTGTTTCCATACCGAGCTCAAAACCAAACTGCATGATATTGACAGTTCTAACAACATTTAGTTTGGTTTCGGCTTCCTTATTTGCTGTCAATTGTCTTTTCTAAAAATTTTAGATAATTAAATTCCTTGATATCAACCAAATTCAATTTCTTCTATGTTTTCTTTATAAGCTTTTACCATCCGACTTTTTTTTGAGTAACTTAAACCTTTACCTTATTAAACAACGGCACATAGAAATCTGACACCTGCTAAACACCCGCATCACCTAAATCTATTTCTTTCGTTATCTCAGCCAATACGCCACAAGGAACAGCAGTCTTGTCAAACCAAATTATTTAATGAGTTTTCTAACCAGTTACCTGCTCTGCTGGGCCATTTACTTTATTTACTGAAAATAACCTTTTTTTAACTGTTTGCTTTTACACACAAAACAATGTTAAAGCAAATGGTAAACAATCTCGTAAACAATCTTTATTGTACTCTAAATCTCTATCATTGCCTTCGGCTTATGGAATAGAGCTATAAACATGACTTGTTTTGCTTTGTGCCAAGCCAAATGACGCAAGTATATTTCACTTTTTGTAACATTTCCTCTTTTCTTCTAGAACTTTACTATTTTCTACATTTTACTACCTCTTTCTTTATGTCTCTGAAGACCACTCTTTCCTCCACATACCATATCAGACACTTCAAGAATTCTCTTTGAAGACCATTTTCTCCTCCACATACTTTATCAGACACTTCAAGAATTCTCTTTGAGGACCATTCTTTCCTCCACATACTTTATCAGACACTTCAAGAATTTTCTCCGAAGACCCTTCTTTCCTCGACATATTCCATCAGACACTTTTCTATGCGTTTTTTCGTATAGGTTCAACTAATAACAAAATCAAGATGACTTAAATTCAGGTAAAAAAATGCATTTCTGAAAATTGATAAATTTTGTTTCAAAATATATAATAAATGGTAAGAACAGACTTTTTTATTGTTTTTATTTTTAATTTAATCGCAAACAAAATTTTTAAATTTTATTGAATTAAGTTAAAAGTAATTTCGTATTTTTAGGTAAAATTTAAAGACCAAATTTTTACGGTTTTATACTTTTTGTTTTATATTGATATATGAACCATTTTAATTGATGACTTTCTGCCATCTTTCGGAAAAAAAAATTATTTTGAAAAGGAAACTTAAGCAAATTTTGAAAAAGAAACTTAAGCAAATGGAAATCAAATGGTACCAGATCAATTGAGTAAGTCGAGTAAAGTAAAAAACTTAAACGTGAATAATTTTTCATTTGTTGTCAAAGATTTGTGAGGTTGATCGTCGTCTTGATGGCTAATTACTCCAAACCAATTAGCTAATTTTGGGCGTTTTTTCACCAACTGCATTTAAGCAATTAAGTTGAGTTTAAGTCTCCAGATTAATAGATTTTGTTGAATAAGCTCATTATAAACAATATCTGTAAAGTCTTACCATACAAAAAGCATAAATTTCTTGGCATGAATATTTTGCTTCGGTGTGATTTGCAAGGCCTCATCTTGGTACAATCTTTTACGTTTTACATTATCATAAACTATATACTTTTCATCTCTTGTTAGCATAGGCTTCAAAAATGCAATGACATTATTGTGTTTGGGTAGTGGATAAAAAATAGAAATTTGATCCGTTATGCTGCGTTCGCTTGTTTTGTGTAGCACTATATATATCATAACAGCAGACGTACCATAAAACACGCAAATTATTCACCACAATTTTATGAGATGTCATCTCTCTAGCTGTTAAATCTCTGACAACTCTTCTATCCAATTAAATAGAAAAAACCTTATTGTGTAAAGCGTTGTGAATATTATGTTTTATTATTTTGTAAAAAAATATGCTATATATTAAAATAATTATTAATGAATTATTAATTGTTATTGAACCTAAGTAAAGCGGAAAATCAAGTGTTTAAATTTTGGAACTGCACAAAAAATTACAAATGTCAATCAACCTCTTCAAATTTAAATAAATTTAAATAAAAATTTAGATTAGACATGTTACACTTTATTTACCAATAAAAAGTTAAAGCCTTTATATTATCACAGGGTAGCTCCATATAAGTCCTCTTTTTTTCAAAAGTCTTCTCCAAAATTTGCTACAAAAAATCCTTCAAAAAGTTAAAAATTTGATCAAATCTCCTCTTTTTATTTCCTAATGGTAGTGTAATATTTAAAATACTTTGTCTGCAAAATTGGTTAACGCATAATAAGGTATTGGATTGAAAAAATTGCTCTAACAACCAAGCAAACATTGCACGTACAAATGTACAATGTACGTTCAGTTTACGTTCTGAACGTCCTAGACCTTTTTGGAACCAAAATTTTTTTTTTCAGCGAGCAACGTTCAATAGATGCCTGAATTACATTCGGAAGTGTAATGAAAGACAGATCAAACGATCTGTCTTTCATTACACTTCTTTCATTATACCTCCGAAAAAAAAAAAAGAAAAAAAATGTCACATTACCTTTCAAATTACCATTTGAAAATGAAAATAAGAACATAAACAAGAAACCAAATGAATACTTCATTCTAAATATATATAAATATATTTAATTTTTATTAGTTATACTTGAAAATTTTCATTTGAAATAAAAATCAATTGTAATGCCAGTAATTAAAGACTAAGACAAAGTTAAAAAGTAAAGTTAAAAGGTAAAAGGCTAAAACAATGTTCAAGACTTAATATATTTTTTTTATAATTGTTTAAGGCTTTTTATGAGAATTAAGATCCAATTCACAAGTTTTCTCAAGAGGCCTTAAGTACTTTCTTTCCACATGTATCGAGGGCTTCTAGCCAGAACGGTTTACTTTTTAACATTTTGAGAAAAAGCAATTTGAAATCTTTAATCCATACATCAAATATCTAAATCGTCACAGAATTCCATGTTGCATAAAAGTTTGTTAGATTTTATGTAATGTAATACTTTATGTAATTTTAAATAATATTTTGTTAAATTTAATAATTTTTTAAAAATTATTTTAAAAAAACATGAAATTACGAGACGATTTATTTTATTGATGTATGATTGAAGATCTCAAATTGCTTTTTCTTAAAATGTTGAAAAGTGCACATACACCGTTTTGGCTCCAAGCTCTCGATATACTACTGGTTTTTTATTATATAAAAAATATACTGTATAAAAAACGAGTAATTTCAGGAAATTTCAGTGAATTATAGGTTAAAAGATTCGTTTTTAAGAGTATTTAAAAACAAATTAACCATTTTGTGTCGGTTATTAATATAAAGCAGTTTAAAAATTTAAAAAAGTTTTTTAAGAGTTTTTAAAAGTTGTTAGTATTTCTGGTTGGCCTTGACAAGGTCTTAGCAACAAAACTTGAACTGTTATTTACGCCAAATAATAGTTTTACTTTTATTGCCTAAATATTATGCGTGACTTTAGGCGGAGATGTATACGGGGATGTATACTGGGCTGATCTATGGGGATTGATTTAGGAAATAGCGCAGTAAATTGTGATGACAAGACCACATGGTTTTCTGCAAGTTTTCAGCGTTCTTTTAACAGCGATTTTTTTAACAACTTTTTTATATTTATTATTTGTGCTAAATTATTTGTACTGAAAAAAGTTCGTATTATGTGTACAATACTTTATTTTATATATTGTAAACGAATCAGTTTATTATGATCAAGTATTTGTAAAATTTTAATAAAAGAACAAAAAAAAAAAATTGTGCATACATTGACTGAAAAATTGGTTTTGTACACACAAACTTTTAATTAACAATAATTTTTCTACATTAGATAAATAGTTATGGATTCCAGATTGAAAGCACAACCCATTTGGTGGTTTTTATTTAATAAATTTTATTCTCTGATTTTTTATTGTAGTTTTTTTTAAACTTATTTTTTAACAGTTCAATTAGGATCTTACTTACTCTTTGAAACAAACAAATTCTTACTATTCATACAGTCGTTCTTATTATTCATACAGTTGTTCTTACTATTCATACAGCTGTTCTTATTGCAAAAAGGTTTTGATTTTAAATATTTCTTTCAATTGAAGTTTATGATATAAACAAATTGAAAAAAAATTGTTACTACCAATTGTTTAGTATATTTAACTTATTTGTTGATAAAATGAAAAAAATTATGCTATCGTTAATTAAATTAGTGAAAATCGTAACCATATAGAGTCTCTATATGGTTACGATTTTCAAGTTTACAATCTTGTCCTTCTATACAACTCTAAAAACAACTCAAGCACTTTCCTAAGCTTTTTTAGTTTTTTCTGAACATCCTTTCTTTTCATATATATTTTTTTATAAAAACGAACCCACAATTTTAAATGTCAGTTTTGTGTGTTTTAAGCAAACAAATTTTGCTAATTACCTTTACTGATGCTTTAATCTGCAAATCCCTTTTGCTTCTCCAACGAGTCTTTTGACCACAAATTTGAAAACTTACCGTTTTTATCTAACTTCAGCAAGCGAATGATTCTGTAAAGATATGAACTTCTCAATATGTAGGTCCAATGTAATTATTCTGATGACGAAAATGAGTGCTATTGGTCAAAGTGCTATTGGTAAAAAAAAAAAAAACGTTACTAGGATACATACTAATTAGTATAAATAGGATTTTTTTGAATAGTGTTGTAGATAAGTAATATTTTTGTGATGATAATTTATTTTTTGATAAAGGTCACGAGTGACCAACATTAGGCCGGGGGAATAAAAATGAGAAATTGCTTTTACTCCGAGTTTTTAAAGAAATTGCTTAAGTTACGTGAATAAAAATTTTGAGCAATTGCTTCTTATTTTCCGCGAAACCTTTACTCTGAACAATTGCTCATGTCAGAGAAAAAAACATGAGTAAAAAAGCTTTTACGCATAAAATGGCAAGTAATTGCTTCAAATTTAACAAGCACCTGTAAGAGTTGCTTTTTGATTTATTTTTTGATAATTGGACATGCCTTTTATTATTTTACTGCTTTATTTGACTATTTTTTAACTGAAGTTGAGTAAAAAAAAAAAAAACTTTTTCTTAGCGGTGCCAATTTAAATCAACTTAATCTTGGCGGTACCAAGATAAATTTGATTTAAATTGAAAATATTTGAAACTTTCAACTTAACAATTATAAGGTTATTTATAAAATTAGATGACCTTAAAGCCGGCGGGAGAAGTGAACATTTTCATCGATAACGTCTTAGATTTTTATCTACTCAAAGAATCGTGCTCAATGACAAAAAATGCATAACTTTTTTAAAAATATTTAAAATGCTGATGCAATCTATAATAGCATTTTGATATGAACTATTTGATCATTTTAATAAAAACTATTTCATTCATTTTGCATATGTCAAAAAGAGTGCCTGTTGTCACGTTTCTGAGAAGTTGTGCATAATAATGCTTATTTCGATAAAAATATTATATATACATGATACTTTTCCCAGACCTTTTTTTTTAAGATTAACCAATATTTGATTTTAGTGTTAAAGATATGTGTTATCAGCATTATCTCATCAAGTAAAAACCATTTTGATATCAACATAGCCTAATAAGCAAGCTAGGAAACTGTTTTTTTTTTTAAAAACTGTCCTCTGGGGCAGAACCGCATAGACGCACAGGAGGCACAACCGCATACATTTGATATTTATCAAAGTAAAAATAATTAAAATCGTCACACTTGAATGCGTTCATATAAAAACTTGAATAGAAATAATTTTGTTTCGAAATTTTCCAAAATTTGTTTTTTTTTTTTTTTTTTTATATTTGATTTTTATAAAAAAGTTTTTGAATAAAATATAAATCTAAGAGTATATTGAATGAGAAAACTCAGGCTGTAATCACAAAGAATGCCTGCACATTGTGCAAACGTGCAACAAAATCAGCAAATATTCTGAGCTGTGAAAATTGTAAAGAAAGTGTACCAAGAATAATGTACCCTTAACAGTTTTTGTTAAGATATGGTCGTGCCTCAACAGGGAGAAAAACTGTTTTTTTCACTAAGTGTGATTTTTGTGTAACAACATTTTCAAAAACCGTTTAATTTTTTTCTAAATTGCATCAATTTAAAGCTTAATGATGTTCTTATTGAAATAAACTGTTTAAAAAAAAACTTATATTGTTCATATCAAACTGTCAATAAAGATTTAATTTCTTCACTAATTGCATCGTGAATGTTTGGAATACGCTACCTTTAAACGTCATAAGAGCTGAATCAGTCAACTCGTTCAAGGTTAGTGTTCATAAATTGAAATTCGTAATAGACGAATGATCGGACACACGAGTGTCTTCTTTCAGCATGGAAGTGCCTGGTGCAGTACTTCCTCATCAAAATAAATAAATGTATTATATAATTGATTTCTGAAATAAATAAACTCAAACTCAAACTCATATAACATTTATCCAAACATAACGGGAGCGGTTATGTCTCCACTTCCTCTATATAATTCTACCACTACTTTTCCTAAGATAATTGCATTAGTTTACAAAACTCTTTTTATTTGTTTGGAACATTTAAAAAAAATTGTGACACCAGTTTTGAACAATATAAGCTAGAACATGTAACTACTCGCAATACTGTGCAAAAATATTGTAGCAAAAATTTTTTCGTTTTCTGTTTAGTATTTTTGTAATTCTGACTAATGAGTTTTTGTAGTGATGTTAGTTTAAAAATTTTAAACTTTGGTGCCTTAAAACAAGAAAGTCTAAAGATAAACCTATTAAAAAATTTCAGAAACGTCTGCTTTATTAAAACAAATAAACGCCAAATCTAAACTTTATAGGAGGTTAACCCTAAAAAACTCCAGAGCTGGAAAATGTATAAGACCATGCATCAATCCACCGAAAGACGATAGTACAACAATTGTGGATATCTCAAGGGGTGTTTTGTTTTTAGCAAAAAAATAATTTAACATTTTTACAATTTAATTTAACGTTTGGCGGAAAGGAGGGGCGGGAGAGGAACAGATTGACAATTGCTAAAGAAATAGGGTAATTTTCTGCATGGGCATGACAATAAAGAATACTTCATTGCCAAATATTGAAAAAAAATATCTTTATAATACTATGTGTAAGTTGGATTGCATTAAGTTTTTAAAATCATCGTTTGTCAGTTGTAAAATATTTAAAAAATGAATACGTAAATTTCAATCTAAAGGTCAAAGATCAATTACATTTTAAAAAAAATATATAAAAATGTTAATTTCAAATTAACTTCGAATTTAATAAATACATGGTTCTTTAAATACAATCTTCAAAGAAAAAAAAAGTTTTATGAAAAATTTTTAAAAAAAAAAGACTTATAAAAACAAAAAAATTTATACATTGTTTATATATATTTTAATACAAAAATCTATTTTAAAAAATAAAAAAAAAAGCTGTTATTGCTATTTATTAAAAAACTATTGCGGTAACACCAAAAAAACAAAGAGGTAACAGGAAAAAAAAAGATGCCACCAAAGTGTTCCCGCAATACTTAAAAACAGATGAGAATGATAAAGTAGCCATTAAAGCCATAGGTATTGCAGAGAAATTCAATAACTATTTTTATAAAAATTGGGGAAAAGCTTGCTAATAAGATAACTCCTGGAAAACATGTTGTAAATCGTATCTAGGAAAAATAGCCTCAGTCATGAACGAGCTTAAAATAACTCCGGCGAGCTTAAAAATGCATCTACAAAAAACATCTTACAAAAAAACAAAAGTTAAGGACTAGATGACATTAGCGTGAATATTATAAGAAAAATATCTACGATGATTATTGAACATCCCTTTCTGCATATCGGTAATCTGTCTTTAAAAAATGGGTTATTTCCTAACCACCTAAAGCTGGCAAAAATAGTTCCTTTATTTAAAGGAACTATTTTTGCTAGCTTTAGGTGGTCAGATTGAAAACATTACTTGTGAGGTTCCACATGAATCAATTCAATATCGCCTAGCTTTATTACGTCGTTGTTTTTGGATTCTTGAGTTGGTTTGAGAGTTTTATTTCTGTGACGTATGTATGGGTTATAAAATATAGGTTGTTTTAGTATTTCTTCGATAGTGAGATTTGTGTGATTATTTGTTTTTCTGTATAAGCGACTCCATTTTTTTGTTTTTTAGTGATAGTAAAGAGGGAGAGTTTTTAAGGATTCTGTTGAGTGTGTGGTAAAAAAGATAAGGTTTCCTTGGTTTGCGTCTCTGTAAGTGTTGAATATGTAAAAAGCTGAATCTTTCCACGCTCCCTTTTCATTTTCATTAAAATATTTTGAAATCCAACTTAATTGTATAGATTGAAGTTTTTCTTTAACGTCTATGATATTTAGTCCTCCCTTATCAACAGGGAGTTTAGATATTTGTTTTGAAGTTTTTATAGTGCTAATATTCCTAAGAAATCTTTCAATTTCTTGTTCTATTTGTTTAATTTTTTGGTCTCCTGGAATAGGAAGCGTGAAGGCAAGGTGCCATAATCTGCTTTAGAGTATTTGGTTAATAATAATAGCTTTACCCTTTATCGATAAATGAAATCTTTTCCAGTTTTCTATTTTTTTTGTTGATTTTAGCGATACCCTCGTCCCATTGATGGTTGGTATGTTGACTACAATTTGAGAAAATAATACCTAAACTCCGAAGGGTGGTGTCGTGCCACGAAAAGTTTAAAAAGTTTTCTTTTATTATCGATTTGTTCTATTCAAGCCACAACCCTTGGCATTTGGCTGTGTTCAATTTAGTACCTGTGGCTAATTTATAAATATTTATGGCATTGCCTAGGGCTTTTATGGAGTTGTCAGATGATAAATAAAATTGTGTGTCATCTGCGTATTGTTGTAGTTTAGTTTCTTTGTTGTCTAGGGTTATTCCTTTTATATCGGGATTTTTTCTAATGTATCCTGTAAAGACTTCAGCTTGGATTATGTACAGTATCATTGAGAGGGGGCATCCTTGTTGTACTCCTCTGTATATATTTATTTTATCGGATAAAAAGCCGTTCAAATAAATATATACAGAGGAAAAAAATTTTAAGGTTGGAGCTAATGTCATAGTATAAAGTTTTAATAAGATTAATAAAGTAAACACTAAAACCAAACTTAGATAAACAGTCATATAAAAAATTTCTGTCGACACGGTCGAAGGCTTTGATTTGGTCGATTGATATAATAGAGGCATCTAAATTTTTTTTATTTGCAATATATATTATGTCTCTGGTATATGCCAGGGTTTGGTAAACTGTTCTACGGGGGATACTTGATGTTTGGTTTTTGTTTATGATGGTTGGGAGAATTTTTGTGAGTCGGTTTGATATTATTTTGGTAAGAATTTTGTAGTCCGTGTTTAATAGAGATATTGGTCGCCAGTTTGAAATGTCACTTTTATCACCTTTTTTAAAAAGGCATGTTATTATGGCTTGTCTTTGTGTAATAGACATCTCTTTTTTTTATTATTATTTCGTTTAGAATTTTAACTAAACTTTCACCTAAACTGTTAAAATTAGATTTGTAGAATTCGGCCGTTAAGCCATCATTTCCAGGTGATTTATTATTTTTCATAGTTTTTATTCCATTTT